GAAAAAAAAAACTCCGGGCCCGTTTAAATTTAAGCTTTTCGGTTTAGGATTTGGCGTTAAAGTTTAAGGTTTATGGTTTAGGGTAGTGTAAGCAAGAACGGAAGACATCCTCTACTCGTCTGAGTGGGTCTGCGAAGCTTGCGACCGCTTTCTCCCGCCGCAGGTCGCTCAGCTCGCCGGAGACGGACGCCTTTTTTTGATTGGAAAGCGCCTGCGCCAACCGTTGACAAAGCTCCGTGGAGCCCGGGACCCTGCCAGAGTAGCTCGCGTTCGACAAGTTGGAAAATGTTGGACGACAACCAAGCCAGGTTGTGGGGCAGGCAGTGTATTTGGGGCAAAAAGGTTTTACGTGCTGCCAATCACAGGGGGTTTCTCAAGAATGCGAACAGTGCACTGCGGAAAAAAGACCCGTGCTGTTGGATCCGACACAGGGGCAGCAGCTGAGATAACGCATGCTATATGCTGGACACATGGTACAATCCGGCACAGATGACGAGAGGCTACGTGCAGCGCTAGCATGGGCTTGTGACATGTATCAGAGCTATGACCATATGAAAATATATGAAATGTCGTCGGACGGCAAACGAGCCCAGCATAAGCTTGCGCTAGACGTTGCCATGTCCAGCAGCGTAGTCTTCCGTTCCGTCGCTCTTCCGGCGTGCCCGGCGCGCGTCGGCGGAGTTCGGGATCTGCCGTGACTGGCCAACCGCTCGCGACAAGGATACCAGTAGTGTAGGAACCTGATTCAGAAACCTTGGCCCTATAGCCCCAAACTATTTGGATCCATATAAAGAACCCTAATAAAGACCCAGGGTTTCTTCATGAGATTCCTACATTACTCAAAGCCTCGGCCCCTTTGACCCAAGATAACGAGAACGTGCTTGCTGAATGGGTAAACAGGCTGAAAAACACACGAGAAAATGAGAGAGCTCCTAAAGAACACTGTGCTGAATCCTAGAGCCTGAGCTGTCCAGTAGACCCTAGTATGATGCAAGATACTAAAACATAAAAACAATCATAAAAAAACTAAAATAGTAATATAATAGTATTTATCATAATCATAAGCATAGTAGTAATAGCTATAATCATGACAATATATACAAGGGAAAAGAACAAAGGACTTGAATTCACGGTTTCGTGGTTTTCAGGTTGAGGGTTTGGGGTTCCGGGGTGGGTAGCTGCGGTTAAGTATGGAGATGCGGATCACGGCCGAAAGGTGTGGGACCTTTGGCTGCTCGATAGGTTAGACTCAACGCAGCAAAACAAAAACTGCCTGGTAAATGCCATACGATCCAAACCCGAAAACAATCGGTAAGCCAACCAGTACGCTCAGACTCCCAAATCCTTATCCAACTAAACCCTTCCATTAAACCCTAAATTCCTAAACCCCTCTATGAAACCCTAAGCCCTAAAGCCTTAAAACCCCGAAACCCCTGGAGCCAAGACCCTTCATCCCAAACTCTTCAGTCAACTCTCTCCCAAGACCCAAGACCCAACGCTCTCAACACCAACCTCTGCCCACAAGACCCTAAGGGCTTAGGGCTTAGGATTTTTAGTGTTTAGGGCCTAGGGCTTAGGACTTTTAGGGTTTAGGGCTTAGGGTTAAGGGTTTAGGGCTTAGGGTTTATAGGGCTTGGGGCTTAGGGTTTAGGGTTTAGGGCTTAAGGTTTAAGTTTTGGGGCTGAGCACCTCCGTTGAAGTTGTTCGCCAAAAACTCCGGGGTAAGAGTGGCAGGATCAAGCACTTGTCCCAAGAGTTCCTGGCCGAGGGGCTTCGCTTCAAACATGCGGTTTAGGGATTAGGCCCCCCCCTAAACCCTAAACTCCTATAGACCATTAGGGTGTAGGGCTCAGTGTTAAGGGCTCGAACCGGTTTAGGCTAGCAGGTTTAGGGCTCGGAGTTTCGGAGCTCAGGGCTTGGGTCTCACATACCGCGCTGCCGCTACCCCTACTCATGCTGCTACTCATGTTCCTGCTCCTACTCCTACGGCTACTCCTACAGCTACTCCGACTGCTTCTTCTTCTTCTACTACTACTACTACTACTAATACCACTGTTACACCTACTCCTGCTACCACCACTGATACCACTACTACCCAAAGTCGACAGCCTAGGTCCAACCTCCGATCGCTAAGCCCTGAACTCTGCCCCAGAAGCTGAATTTGCACTTCTGCACGTCCCCTCGCCCTAAACTCTGAATTACAAGGGTTTAAGGGTTTAGGGCTTAGGAACGGGTGCAATTGCTATCATGGGACCATTTAAGGAGCTACAATTTAGAACAATCCCCACACACAGGGGGGTTCCTGAACTATTACCACCGCTAAGAAAGTCACCCCCCCCCCCCCCAAAAAGACAACAAATTTAACATCCAACAAAACTCCCAAGGCAGCCTTACAATTTAAATGCACTCGCCACAACCCTGGCGCCGTGCAATCACTCATGAGATGTAGAAACCTATGAACATCCGTGAAAAGCCCATATAGCCCTTACTCGCTTCAGCTTCATTTGTGAAGTTTCAGAGCCCCTCCAAATAAAGCGACAAAAAAATAGTGAATAATCGCGAATAGTAAATTCTCAAATCCCAAAAGGCACCCTGTAACCATTGTAGAAGCCTTACGGGAGCTGCAAAGAAACCGTTGAAACTCCTGTGTGCACTGTAAGGCCTGCATAGTCTCTAAGGCTATGACTTCGGTTTCGAATCATAACCGTACGATACTATACCCCAAATAAAGCCCCTTTATAACCCTAAACTTTTATGGAAACCTTCAAGGAACTCTAAAAGAAGCCCTTGAAAACACACTATGTGCCAGAATCCTCCGCCAAGGCCTCGGATGTGAAGCCCTTGGCGAAGAGATACGGCGCCATAGCCCAATTAGTGCCTCAGAGCACTGGGGCAGGGCCCTCTAAGCTCTGAACCCTCGGCGCTAAACCCTAGACGGGCTCCTAGAGGACTGTTGGGTTTGGGGCTTTGGGGTTTACGGCAAGCAGCTTTACGGCAAGTACTAGGGTGCAGGATGGATGGATGGAGGGAGGGAGGGAGGGATGGATGGATGCAGACGGGTGCGCAACTCAGGTCGGGCATTTACAACAACTGCTGCTGCTGCTGCTGCTGCTGTAGTAGTAGTTAGTAGTTAGTAGTTAGTAGTTAGTAGTTAGAAGTTAGTAGTTAGTAGTTAGTAGTTAGTAGTTAGTAATTAGTAGTCAGTAGTTAGTAGTTAGTAGTTAGTCGTTAGTCGTTAGTAGTTATAGTAGTAGTAGTAGTAGTAGTAGTAGTAGTTTTGTCACCCACTTCGCAGTAGTAGTAGTAGTAGTAGTCGTCGTAGCAGTAGTAGCAGTAGTAGTAGTAGTAGTAGTAGTAGTGTTGTAGTAGCAGTAGCAGTAGTTGTACTAGATACTAGTGTTACTAGTAGTAACAAGCATTTGCAAGCCTTCGACTTACAGCAGGATTATCGCCCAACAAATGCAGCCCCACTCCTTGCGACCCAAATGTCATGCACACGAGGCCGAGGCTGTGGACTATGCTCCCGTCACGAACTTAACACGGTGATCCAAACAACGGCCCGACCTTGAGGACTGAAATTTCACGTTTCAGCATTTGTTACCGCAATCAGCAGACTCAGACGGAGGATCTCCTGAGCCAGCTTCAGTCTGCTCACGATCTGAATCTGCTCCTTCTTGCGCAAAGCCCGCCTTTGCTTCCGGTCAGGAAAGGAAGGCACGATACATTCAGGCAGGACTGCCGAATCTACGAACTCCAAAGAGCGGCGAATGACTGCTCGTGCTGCTTGCGGTAATGTGGCAGCTTGAGAAACGCTCTGGATGTCTCGCTGTCGGGGAGTGCAGGTGACTGGACCACCGTGTTCAGCGTCTCATGCATGAGGTGCAATTCCTCTCGGAGCAATGCAGTCGAATTATGCACAGCCACAGGTGGTTGTTCGGGAAGCAGGGTATCAGGGTGCGACTTCTTGCATGTCCGAGAAGCCGCGCGCTCTGAAGCAGCTTGCAGCTTGTCTCGCTTTGTCTGCAGTACCTCAAGCAACTTCTAAAGCGACATCGTGTGCTGGAAAGCTGTGATGCGAACAAGCTCGATGATGCATTCGAGTTCGCGTGCCTCCAGCATGTCATGGGATCTGGTCACGAGCGAATGGTCCTGAGACAGGTTCAGGATCATGCGTCTGATCACTTCGTCGTGGCAGCTCCGGCTGTTGCTGCCGGGCATATTCCCCGATCTCTCATGCAGCAGACGCATACAGGCACTCTTCAACTCAGACTAGATCATCGGCTTCTCACTAGAAGTGGCTCATAAGGACCTGAGACTTCAAGGTTCCCATTGTGGACTTGTGCAGACAGTTTGCGTGAGCACCGGCATCGCCAGCAGCTCTCACGGCCGAAGCAATGATTTCAAGCTTGCGGACCTTGTGCAGAACAGTTCAACTGAAGTTCAACTCACAGAAGGTTCAGTTCAAAGTTGACGAGCGAATCAGGCATGAACACCCCCACCGAATGGCGATGATACTTCCTGCATCGCTCAGGGACATCATACTGTAGGTCGCACTCCCCTGCACTTGGCTGCCTGCAGGAGTGCCTTCGTCTTCCCGTCCCCGGTTCCGAAACACACAAATGTCAGCAACGTGAAACCTGCTCCAACAGGCCGCCGCCCAACTTTGAATGCCGGGCTGCCTTCAAGGCTTCACCAAGCTCCTTGCAGCGTGCTGAACACCCTCAGCTCTGAACAGCTTAAGAATACCCTTGTAGTTCAAGCGCTTGGCCCCACCTTGCACGTCTTTTCACATTCCCGAACGAAAGTGACACTTAATCTGCGGGAGCCAGCGCTCTTCGGAAGGTCCTGTTCCATTCGGATGCGCTTCTCGAGATGTCTGAGCAGCTCGTTCCCACGAGCCAGCACCAGCGCGTTCACACCAAGATCCTCGGGGACACTGTCAGGACACGCTACAGCAAGTGTGAAGCCGAACAGAAGAAACATCACATCCGCAGGTGGTGTCCTTGGCCGCCTTTATTGCCGCTCGAAGCGGCTCCACACGCTGCACAGATGCCTGAAAACTTTGTGGCATGTATCCGTGCTAGAGAGACGAGGACCTTTCTGTCTAGATCTGTCTACGGTGATTCTTGAGACCTTACAAGAAAGCCCATGGACTGCCACGTGCTCCGTTATCACCTTCATCTCTCCCCCCGAGCTCTCCTAGTTTGCGTTCTACAATGCAGGGGTGATAAATCTTTTCCAGCCCTCTGTACACTCTGGACTTATTCAGTAAAAAATACCAACCAAAACTAGAATTCGAGCCCTTGCGCGGCAGAAGATCTTCAGTGTGGGAGATTCAAATCACGCCGGGGATGTCTTCCTTGCAAATTCGCACTAGCTCCAACAAGCCGCGATGGGCTTTTGACGTGGACAAGGCATACCTTGATCAGAGGTCTGTTCGCGTTGGTCCGCGCGCTTGGGACCTAGGCACGCTTCGGGAAGCTTCCTTGAGAAGCTCTCGCCCACCAGCATGAAGCGCCCAGCCTGGCCTCTACATCAATCTTCCGGCAGGCCGCCTCCCAATCCCGATAAAGGACTCTGGCCTCAGCCATGGCATGCTCCGCGCAGTTGTCGCAAGTCGAGAGCTTCAGTGAAAAGCAACTGTCTACCGCCAAAATCTCCGCAATCCGAAGCAGATTCCATGCCGCTGCCTCGAGAAGCTCCACGACTTTGATGCCGAGGTCTTCGCACTTCTCGATACACTCCCGCAAGACCTACAAACGGCACAGGGGCGGTGGCCCTTCAGCAAAACACCTGTCACCATGGCGCTGGAGCAACAGGCCTCGGGGTCTCCGTGACGGATGGCGTCGTGCAGGGCCTTCAGCTCTTCCAGTTCAATTTCCTGCAGGCAAGGTGATCTAGGGCAGCAGGGACAGTTGAGTTCTCGCGGCAGAAGCAAGGCTCACCGTGCTTCCGAGAGTTTAGAAATCAAGCGAGCATCGAAGTCAACACACACACACACACAAACACACAAACACACACACACAAACAAACACACACACACACACAGACAGAGTGTGTGGAGGCACGCATGTCAGCCAAGCAGCAAATCTTTTCAGCAACTCTGCTGGGATGCTGTAGGCGACCTCGGCGTCACTTCCAACCCTCCCCAATTCTGGAGCAGTCCGGGCCAATGCCATACGGTCTGCAGTATGCAGATGCCCAGGGATGCCAGGGGTCTGCATGCTCGACTTCACAGATGTCTGAACTTGTTCACCGACATATGCAAGAACCATCAAGTACCCATTCCAATTATGCAACCCTTTGTCTGGTTTGGCCGGCGGTCGCGCAGTACATCCGCACATGCGAAGTTGTCGCACTGTTCCGTCTGAGGTTTAAGCCCGAAGACAGTTCTGAAAAGCTGACATGGGAAGCGGAGAGGTTGGGAGGTTCTCGAGGCAGCGACTGCATCTGCAAGGGTCTTCTCGCGTTCCTCGATGCCAGCAGCGTCCGCCATCGCTTCCAGAAGCTCCTTCCGTCTTGAAGGTTTCCGGAGTCATTGGTTGCAAATTGTTCTACGTAAGCACGGCGATGAGGGGAAGACAAGAAACTGAAGCACGCATATCTCAAAGCAGCTCCTCGACCCTCTTTCGCACTTCTTCCTGAGCAGTCGGGCCAGCTGTCACGAAGGCCCATCAATGACACCCATCAACTATTGAAGTCCCCTGTAAAGGAGCCAGATAATTACCCCGCCGGCATCTGCCAACCTTCACGTGACCTTTACACGCTCCCAATGTAGCAAAGCAGGCCTCGCATTACCATTATCATCTACAGCTTCACCGTACTGTAAGGACTCCCCAATCCCGTCGCCAAATAGCGGCCTGTGCACCTAATCCTAAGCATGCGTGTTGTTCAACTGCTGTAGAGTACGTTGCCATGTGCTGCTTCTGAATGCTTTCAAAATTCTGACTTCGGACTGCCAAAAAGCATTGATGTTTCTCTGACTGTCTCTCTTCTTCCCCTTCCATTTCAGGGCACATCGCAAAGCAATCATGAATCTGATTTGGCCTCAGGATTCAACGATGCAATGCCTCTGGACGGGTGATGTAGCAGATCTATGCGGGAAATGATCTCATTTCTCTCTGCAAGTGGGTGCGCTGCACGCACTGTTCCTTCGTTTCTTCTCACTTGATTCTGCAGAATAGGCATGTGTGTGTGTGTGAAGTCGTGTGCCACACAGGAAAGCAGCCCATGCGGCTCAGTGTCGGCATCAAGGATCCGCTTCAGGCTGACTTGCGCCAGGCGGGCGGACATGATGGTCATCTTCAACTTCACAGGATGTCCTTAGTGCCCTATAGGCTTCAAAGGTGCTCTTCTCTTCATACTCAGCTCCGGCATTACTCCGTGGCAAACAACGATGCCTAGCTACGAAATTTGACAGCTTTCTCGAGCTCCTTCTTCACATTCTCTCGTCGATTCATCAACCTTGGATGTGCTCGGCTTCCTGTGCCCAGACTGAAGAATTGGGACTGGTCGCCGATCCGAACTGGGATGCTATGTCGCTCTGGCTTCGAACAGGAATCGCTTTAACCGCCCCTGCAACTAAGCGACTTGGAGAGCAAGGAGCGAGCCTCGTGGATCATCTGATGCTCCTTCAAACCGGCTTTGCTAGCCTGGGCTCCAGCGGGCGCTGGGGTGGCGTGGGCGGCATGCTCTTTCACTCGACCTGACAAGTGGCTAGTGTGAGAGCCGCAGACAGGTCGGGAATGACCTTCGTGCTCATGGCTTTCCTGGGATAAGGACGCATGAACGCCTGCTTAGCTGCTGCAGCCTCATCTACTCGAACCCCAAGTCGATGTGATGCCTTGGTGAATTCAAAAGGCGCGAAGATGCAAGCGAGTCTCTGAAGCGCCCCCTGCGTCTGCCCCAGCAGCTCGACTCTTTCCCGTGCTTCGGGCTCTGCTGGGAGATCCATGCCTGCCGTTGCTGCACTCAAGCCCGCAGCCTGCATGGTCTGCACTCCTCGAGACGGGCCCCCTAAACTAGCATCTTGAAAACTTTCCCCACCAGCCAAGCCAGCCCAATGGATGTTCAGCCGCCACTGCAATTTTTTGGCACGTGCTGCTTTGATTTGCTGGCTGTCCTCTCGGTGTCGACGGACAGGGAGGCAGGTCAGAGTAGCTTTAAGTGCTTCCGACTTCCGTGCCTTCCCTATCAGCGTGTCTAACCAGTTCAAGGCCCTATTGGCCCTATTCCTTTACAACACTTTGCGACTACGGAATCAGGCGTGGCTGCGCAGTTGGCCACGTGACACTCTGACTCGGACACCCCGAGCCCAAGTGTTCAAGGACCTCAGCTGCACGGCAGGCATTTACAAGACAGCTTCTTCGCATGCAAGTCTATTCAGTCTATTCTCTACCCAGGAGCCGGATGGCAGAAGTCTTCCACATCCCCCATCTCCATAACACGGTTCGCCTTGTTGGGAAAGGATGCCCATGGCTCATTGCTTGCTGGGTCCCATGTGTCATTGGCCCGGAAGATAGTTGTAAGAATGCAGAAAGCCTGCGGATCCTTCTTCTGGAGGCTAGATCGACCGGACCTGTGCATATCATTTCCTGGAACGTGGTACTCATCAGTGCCAACATGGCTTCCGAACCATCTTTGCAGTGCCATGGCGAGATACTCGTCGGCCTGCACCGTTGGTACAGGTTCGCCATCAACTTCTTTGCCGGAGTGGTCAGTTTCATAGAGCCGCAGCTCCATGGCGTTCTTGTAAGCCCTTCGGTACATGCACACTGTCCGTGGAGAAAGAGAGCAGTATTGAATGGTGTGGAAAAGCTCCTCCACTACTGAAGCTTGCGTTTCACCGTCGTGGACCCCGATGGAGGGGAACAAGGGGCTAGCCCCTCCAAGACCAGTGGTGAATGATCGGCTCACCTCTGGATGCACCAGCCAGGTGTCCTTCTCCTCATCCTCTTCTGCAGCAATCAAGAACTTGATGCCAGTGTGCGCAAGATTGGCCGCAGTGGTTCTGGAGACTGCGGCATCAAACAGCACATGCCTGACGGTTTCTGCTGACTTCTTGATGTAGTCCGGCGAAACATCGGGGCCTGCAAGCAGGGGAAGCCCGAGAAGATGGTCTTGCGGATGAGAAACCAAGATGTACTGCGAGTAGAACCCGTGGCCAGTGCTCTTGGACCACTCCTGAAGTTCCTCAGAATCGGAGGATCGTGGATCCAAAAGAACAGAGCTTGAAACCAGCGGAGGGCGCGGCACAGGCTTGGCCCCTTTCGGCAGCTTAGGCTCACAGGAGAGCCCCTGGCGTTCGTACTTTTTTGCATAGTCCGGGGGGTCCAAGAAGCCTTCTTGCTCACAAACCCAAAGGCCTCTGTTAAGCGCCAAGCAGGTGCAAGCGAGCCCTGCTGCACATTGGCTTAGATCTGGACTGCAAACTTCGCCTTGAGCTTTGTTTGCCAACTGGACAGCAGGAACAGGCCAAGGTCGACAGCACAGCAGGACTACCTGCACCGCGACCTGCAATGTAGCGGGCCCATTCCTCATCTCGTGTGCTACATAATCGAATGAATCACGGCGTGACTACAAGAACTGCCGCTGGAGGGCTTTTGAGCCGACATTCACATGATGAGGTAGCACCCAAACCCAGTGAATGCCAGCAGCTTCTTGCCTTCCGACCGGCCTGCAGCTGACTCTTGCAGAGGCCCAGCCGACCCCGCCTTCCGCGGCTTTGAGAGCCTCCAAGAGATCCGGGACGCGTGCAGCTTCGATGGCCTCCTCGAGCCCTTGCTGGGCTGCCTCAAAATCAGGCAATCGACAGATTTCGACGGCGTTTAGCTAGCTCTACAGCGCGATGGTCATGCCAAATGTCTACACTGCGGCAACAACACCCTTACGACTCTTAGAGCCATAGCGGAGATGGAAAGCTTGGGTGCAACGCTGGGTGGCCTCTCGGCGGATGAGGCGCTCCCTGCCCACGACGATGATCTCCTCCGGTAACCTCCAGCATTTAAAGAATCAACACTACTAAAATACTAGTAGTTTCTATTGTCATTACGGTCGTCGTTATTGTTTGTATTTGTTATTGTTATCCTTAAAACTGTTGTTAGCAGTAGTATTGGTATTCTAACTTCGTGTTTACCTGAGCTGGGATGCCCGGCCTTGCCGTCTCAGCTGCCTCGATTGCAGCTTTCAGAGGGGTGAGGCCCTTTGCCGTGTCCAGGCGTTCCACGACGAGGTCCTCAGATTTGGTCACCGATTCTGCCGCTCGCAGTTTTGCAGGCTTGGCATATCGCTTGCTCTGCCTTGTAGTAGATGTTTCGCCAAAATAATTCGGCACAGGTATGCCGGCACATGGATTCATATTAGTTCGGATATGCTCGGACTTGCTATGACAAATCCCCCGGCGAGACAGTGGGAAGCTCCGAATTGCAGTGCAGCGTCCAGCTTGTCGAGGAGGCTTCGAGCTTTATCAATGCCTGACCCACCAGGTCATGGTGCATGAAAACTGCATCCTTGAGCGTCTACTACGTCTGATTCTCTTGTTGCTGCAGTTGGACTTCACACAAGGACGACAAATGTCTCCTCAATTCTACTCTTCCCCTGCTGCATCGCTACCAACCGCTCCGAATTAAGTATGGGTACGAACTCTCAGCACCAGCGACCCGCATGGGAAGGCCTTTCTGCCCTTTCGTAGGGCATATGGCATGCTAGTGAAATGCCCTCTTGATTGTCTGCTTGTTGGTGTTGCTCGCACAACAGCTTCTCTCGTTTTGGTCTTGCCGGAGGCACAGCAGGGGTTCTTGTTTACCTGGACCCGTGAAGCGGGGCGCTGCTTTGCATTATTTTTATGTCACCTGGGTCGACATACCCGCATAGCATCGTAGAGGATTTCCAAGTTCAGCCAGTCCCACCTTGAAGCTTTGCATCAATCGCAGCTTGCAGAGCCTGACAACGGGGTCGGTGAAGACAAATGAAAGGAAGCTGCTCTTGAGAACCTCTGGATAGGAAGTTCCAATACGGTGTTGCAACTTTCATGCTCGCTTGTACAGTGCATCTCCAACCTCTCTGAGCTGCTCCGGAAATCGAGCTTTCATTGCATCCGCCAGGTCGTTCTTGACCTGAACCGAGTTGACAGCTGATAAGAACAACAGCAGATACCATGCTTGGACACGACTTATTGTGCGAATCGGCCTGCGCTACAGTTTCATGTAGTGCAACATCTGGCTTTCGTGCTACTCACTGTTTTCGGGGGGCGCGGCTTGACTCGTAGCACGTCCTGCAGATCTGCACCACTGGGCGAGCGGAAGGCATTGCCGAGACTCGGACTTCCCGCAAGCGCAGCAGCAATGCTCGCGCTTCGTGAACGTACTTGTAGTCCTGCAGACAGTCTTTCGTGCAAACATGCCGAACCACACCTGAAAGGCGACGGTGGCTTTGAGCTTCAAGGCTGCTTTAGCCGAGCACTGACCGTCACCATGATCACGTCGCAGTCGTAGACCATTAACAGTGTCGGCTGTCACTTGCTTCGTCTGTGCCAGTCTCTGAAGCAAGTCCTGGAACTCAATTCCCTTGCTGGCCCGCAGGACCTGCTTTTGCCAAGATTTCAGGCAAAGACATCACGACTTCTCACCAGTGACTGTCGAGCCTGCTCCAGCTGCTCGATGCTCGGTGAGTTAATCGCAGCGATGATTGCGGCCTTCACAAAGCTTCTAATCAGTTCTGGTGTCTTGAGCGCCAAATCAAACCGCCTCTGCTAAGTCCGCACCCTGTTGCCGCGAGATGGCGGCGGTAGTGAAAGACGGGCTCCACCTCGTTGGAATGTGAGACTGTTTCGCACTCATAGATTCGGAACTCTGGTATGCTCGGATATAGCAGCACCACTCCAGCACTGTTTTGGGCTGGCAAAGACTTCCCCTTTCGAGGGAAGCTGCTCTGAGCATTTCAATTCCCAGTCTGTGAGGTGACATGGTGCAGGTGGCAGCTAGTCCTAGTTCCGTTTTGGAACAGCACATAGCTGACCTGTCGGGACGGCGACCTCCAGTACTGGCTGTCATGGCAGAAGACCCGGACCCGGCTCAGGCGAACTTCAACTCTCACTTCTTCTTGCCTCAGTCTCACGAACTGAAATCTGTACCGTCGAGTGCTTAGATGTAGACTTGCTGAAGGCGGGATGCTTTCACACAGGGTTGAACATGCGGCTTGAAGAGAGCACCCAATAACACCTGAGAGGCCGTTCTTGTTGCTGCTAGGTAGCCTTTTTTGCCCTTCTTGCCCTTCATGGCCGCTCTGCGGGCATCCAGCCGAGCCATGTAGTTGCGGCCCTCCTCTTGCAGGAAGAGCACGGCCTCTGCCTGTGAACAGTACCGCAAACCGGTCGTGTGTCTGCGCAGTAAGGGAGCAGCTACACTGCAATAATAGCGCACACCATATACTAAAAACATCCCAAATGTATAAACTGCACACGCAGGTGCCATTCGCTGATACTGTTCACGACGCTGCTTCTCGACGAGAACGGCATTGCGCATCTCGTTCTCCTTCTCCTGCGGGCGGGGGGTGGGGTTGCTTTGAGAACGCTTGGTTTTGTCTGTGTGTGGCAGTGGCCCCCCATTGCAGCCCATGCACCTTGTAGCTGTCCGCCTCCAGTCCACGACGTTCCTCAAGCTCGGCCAGCTCCTGGTGGGCGGCCGCGCGGCGCTCCTTGAGCATGTCCAGCTCCACGGTGCGGTTGTCCACCTCCTTCTCGTGGTCCTTTTGCAAAGCAGAGCCGGGGCATGCGCGGCCCTAATTCGGCAGAGGGTGTGTCGGCGGCCTCATACTACAGTGGCTGCCTCTCTCTATCAACTATCCTTGGTCCAGGCGATGTTTTCGTCATAGAGGTGCTTGATCCGCTGGTCCAAGAAGGCATGAGCGCGCTCGTGCACTTGCGTCTCCATATCTTGTGCTTGTTTCAGCCTCTCTTCTTCCTGGAGCGCACAAGACGGCAGAGGACATCCGTGATGTGCCATGGTGGTATGTTCTTGCCAGAGTATTCAGAGTCCTTCTCAAGCTTTTGCAACATTTGATCGTGTATCCGCAGTAGTGCCTCGTGCACGTGCAAGATCGCTCAGCAATGTCAAGTAGAACTTATGCAAGCGGGCCAAGCATGCAGTGCACACTACGTGCGCCATTACGCCATCTTCTGGCTTCCGGGCCTTCTCGCGAGCGCTTAGCTTCTTTTCCTCGAACTTGTACTCGATGTCGCCTCGGACCGTCGTCAACTTCGAAAGAGCAGAGGCTCAAAGCTAATTCGAGAGTGAGTATAAAGCGTAAGTGCCAGGCTGATAGTCTTGTTCTTCTGCAGCTCTTCCTTCAGCTCTTTGATTTCCTGGTTTGCAATCCTCAGAGTTTCCGAGAGAGCTGAGCCCGGGCGAGAATATGCCTGAAGAAAAGCATGCTTTTGTAGGGGCTTGCAGCAAAGGGGCTTTGTCTCCTTCTCCTGCGGGCTGCACTGGTCTGTCTGACTACAACATGCGCAACACCTCCGAACAGCCGCCAAGGCACATGGTCGGACCTTTCTCGCTGAAGGTCATCCTCCAAATCCTTCACGGCCTGCGAGTTCTTCTGCTCCTGGCATGGTGTCTCCGCACTGAAGCTGCTCCGTACCCAAAACCGTCGCTGCCGTCCTTCCGCTTGACCTCGCTGAGCCGCTCTTGCTCCCTTCGCTCTTGCTCGACCTCCCAGCGCTGGGCTTGAAAGGGCTCCAAAATGAGGCGCAGTATTTAGGGCACATGTCGACCTTGGAGACAAGGATGGCGAAAGACATCTCCTCAGTTTGAGTTACAAGTTACAAGCCACGTTGCGCATTTCGCCGCTCCGGGGGTCGATCCATAACCATGACACACAGTAAGGCAGGAGCCCCAAGTTCCTTCTTCGTCTCCTCGAGCCACTCAGTCACCTGCCACCTCTCCTGCTGCATCTTGATGAGATTGCCCTGAGCAGTTGAGGCCAGGTAAGAGCGTCTGCAATACGGCTCTCCAGCAGTCACACGAATAGCGGAGATGTGCTGCGCAAAGCTACCGGCGAGCCTGCACGTTTGGATTCTCTTTGAGATTTCTGCAGAGACTCTTGTTGCTTTCCTTGAGCTTGTGGGCGACTTCTTGGATTTCTCTCTGCCTTGGCTCTCAAGGCTAAACACATGCTCACGAAAACTTCTCCCGCCAGGATGCGTCTCCATGAACTTCGCCTGTGCCGTGTGACCAATTATGCTGCACAGAAATCGCTATCTCTAATATGTTTTCCCACGGAACCCTGCGTGAACCCGTGTCCTTGTTGCAAAGGCCCTTGAGTTGGCCACGTGCTGCAATTCTCTCCTCGTACTTTCGCTCCAAGTCTCTCTGCTCCTGCTCAGGTGAGTTGTTCGCGGTTCCAACACGGGTGCAGGCATGACATGGACCAAAACTGAGGTCATCCTGAATGATGCGCGAGATTTCGTCGCCCATGAACCTAGGCCGTGCAGTCGGCACTAACAAATTGAGCCAGGCTGCATAGCCGCCTCACGGCTGTGCGCGTGGCTGTGTCAGCTCGTCGCCGTGTACCGACGCGCTCGACGAGATGCTGGTGAGGAAGCTCAGCTTTCCTAACAGTTTGTGTGTTTGCAGACGCAGGCGTGGCTTTTCGATCTTTTGCAGAAAAACCTCAACTGTCCAGTTGCTGAACAGCTTCTCAATGCTTCCTCCAGAAGGACCTGTTCATTCGAGCGAACGGAAAATGCCACATTTGCGTGATCAGGTGGTATTTTGGGCAAAGTGGCCTGCGCTCGAAATGCTTCCACTTCTGAGAGCTTGTTAAGAGACATGCTTCTGGCTCAAGCAGAACCTGTGCAACCAGTTCGGTCGCACAGGGTGAAACGCTTTCCAAGGGCTTTCGGCTATGTCTTCCGCTTTACCCTGGAGGCCAGCTTGGGCAGAAACGGCAACGTGCCGAAGAAAATGCACGGCGCTCCTCAGTCGCACATCACCTTTCCAGGCACCCTCTGCCCAAATGCGGCCGAGGGAACTCAGACCAGCCTCCGGAATTGCGAGCCCTCAGCCTCTGCACCAAGTGTTGGATGTGGTGCGTGCAGCCCTTTTCCGGTCGTATTTGCTTGCTGCCAGCCTCAAGAAGTGTTTCTCTGTGGACTCCGCAGCGGGCATTTCGGCGAATGGAAGTGGTAGCCTCAGGCCGAGTCCGATGTGCGCAGGGTGATCTCAGAGCTGCATCGTCTGAGGCTTCAGCTCGGGGAGCTGCAGGACTCCCTGCGGCGTTCCAGCTCGTGCTACCTGCCGAGACCGAAAGAACAGTAAAAAGCCTTGCATTCAACTTGAAAGCAATTCAAGCTTTCACTTCTGCCACTGCTTTCCGTTCAAGTGGCAGCTGCTTCTGCGGCGCCGGCGTTGACCTCCACTGCAACTGAAGATATGCTTCAAGTGTATCACCTTTTGGCTCCCCACTTGTTTTGGGGCTTTCGGGGGATGTGACAAGGCAGGTTAAGTATCGGCGTGTCGCACTTCACATGTCTTATGGCTTGCTTGCTTGCTTGCAGGGCGTTTGGGTGCGGGGAGGCAAGGACCCCTCACCCTCCGCTCTCACACTACGCCTGTGAAACGTGCGAGGGTTCGGTACCGTTTGTGTCCCCGATGTTGGCCCCGAACTACCGTACTAGTTCCCCGTGCATGCCAGCCCCTCTCTGTGCTGTAGTGCCACGGCTCCCGGGCATTGCCGGGTCTGGTAGTGTGGTTCGCGGTGACCCGAGTCAGACTGCTCGTGGCAGGGTCAAGTTTCCGGGGTGGAGGAAGCAAGGGGCCAGGAGCATTCGACTCTCTTCTCCCAGGCATAAGGGGGTCATTCGACTCTCTCTCTCTCTCTCGCTTGCTTGCTTGCTTGCTTGCTTGCTGGGCGTTTGGGTACTGGGGGAAACCCCAATACCCTGCGCACTCGCGCTACGCCATTGTCCAAATCTTGGGTGTGAGACGTAAAGGCTCGGCTGTCACAGATTGGCCCGTCCCCAACCATCCCCTGTGACAAGTAAACAACTTTCATGCTCCCCGGCCTGGGCCAACTCGTGTGTGCCGAGCCCCTGTTTCGTGCAGGTGTTCCGCGCATCCCCGGGCGTTGCCGGGGTGGTTTGAGGTTGCCTCGTCTGGTAAAAGATGCTGACTCCGAGATAGCAGCGTGAAGCCACCTTTAGTGTCAACCTCCTTTCTCGCTCTCTCTCTTTCTTTCGCCAGGGCTGCAGACGAGGGTTGCCCCTCGCCCGCGTGCATCAAGCGCCCCCGTATGTTACGGGGCCAGCTGTGAGAATAGGTGCAAAGCGACAACGAGGCAACCTGCATCCGTGGGAGAAAGATTCAAGCAAAACAGAGGCCACACGCCACAGGCTCAGTGATAGGGTCACCATGCGGGGTTTCGGGTCGCAGGTTGCACTGGGTTTTTCCCAGGGTCGTCGTTGGCCTTTGAAGCATCACTTGGGCCTTTGCGAACCAAGGAGCAAC